ACTTACTAATAATCTAGTTGAAAAACGATCATTGCAATATTAATTTCATAATTCACGAGTTTCGTACAATTAAAAAATGTCAAGCATAATTGAATATGACAAGATGCAGAACGTCACACACAATATGACTTATCCAAGGGTTCCCATGCTTTGATTTTTAGTACTTGTCATTGTGACTTTTATGGTAGTTTGGCTTCGGGACGACATTCTCCTATCTTTGTATATAATGAATTTTTTCTCATTAGTTTTTTACGAATAAAAATCTCTCATGTTTTTATATAATTCATTTTTTCACTAAGAAAATCTTAATTATGCACAAATGATTTTATTTATTTAAGAATTGTATTATTCTAAATACATACTAAATTATACTACATATATATATATATAATTTTTAAAAAATATAATTTTGATTGGCACTAAAATTGTTTTTAAAATATCTATGATCGTTTAATTAAAAGAAATTCATATTGATACATGGACAATTTTTTTTGAACCATTGATTGTAGAGAAAGATTGAATCAACTAAAAGACCTGATTTGTATATTTAGACCCCCTATTTGTGGATTTAGTGTCACTTTTTTTTTAAATTAAAAAAAAAATACCAAATAATTGGGATTTTAAAAAAGATGAAAACAATATTATAAAAAACGTAAATGGGGTTTAAACTGGGCCAGGTTAGCATGCACTGTCTGTGTGATATGTATCCAAGCTGAAGCCCATTATCTAAACACTTCCCTCTTAGATCCAAGGTTGAAAATTAAAATTGATTGCCAAGTTGTTGAAGACCGAAAATGCAATTAATGAATTAAACCCAGATATCTCTGTAAAAAATAAAAAAATAAAAACAAAGGAAAAAAAACCCTCCTCTTCTTCTCACTGTATTTTTTTTTTAAAAAAAAAAAACTTGATGTATGCCTGCCTCCCCGGCAGAGACAAGTTTCTGGGGTCACCTAAGTTTAACAACCCGGAAAAAAGAAAAGAAAAGAAAAGAAAAGAAGGATTATAAGATCGATCAAGCTGAGATAGTTATCGTATCAAACCCTAATGGCAGGCATCTCAACACATTAATTCCGACAGGAATTAGCTCAGATCCCCATGATTGTTAGAGAAGCATTACAGTAAAAGCTCATAAAAAGAAGACATAAACAACAAGCATTAAGTGGCCACAGGCCGACACACATATATATGATTAGTTCTATTCAGAGAACACTTATCATAGTAAGGTTTTACATCGAACAGAACATGAAGTAAAAGAAAACGCAGCATTAAGCGCTGATTCGCCCTTACGAGAATTAAGTTCCCTTCCGGCCCAAATCGCATGAACAGAGAGAGAGACTCCCAGGGGAACGAAAATGCCAAAGGATCGAAGTTGCCCTATAAGAGAAACCGCCCTCAAGAAGGCGATTCAGTTTCAACAGCCTGCAATATTAGCCCTACAATCCTGAACGAAGGATCGCAAGGAAAGGATATTTTATTCGCAAAACAAGAAAAACTGCACCCGGGAAACAATATGTGACCACCCCTCAACTTCATTTTTTTGAGCAATAAAGAACATCGGTAGGGGTGGTCAGGAGGGAGCAAAGGGATCACATGATGATGAGATGGTGCAGTACTAAGAGGGTTTGCATATTAAGCTTGTGCCGGCTGTTATAGGGTTTATTTTTCTTGGTCACGAGGGCAATAAAAGGCTGAGATGACTAAGTAGTAGGGTCTAGTCACTTTTAGTTAAAGGAACATGAAAGTGAGGTGAGATAGTGAGTTGGAGGTTGCATGTTTTAGCATCTTCCATGGGATATGCCATTTTCGCCACCTCGCTCCTTAATTTCCTCCGCATCTGATCATGACAGCCGTCCTTCCATTTCTTTCCTTTTCTTTCATGTTGCTAATTCCAAGTACATCATTTTTATATTGTTACAATTAATTAACTTTCTTGTTTTAATCTTATTGTAAGAGATTTTCGAGAGTCATGTTAGCTTTTGGGCTGGCAGATTTAAACAAATTAACTTCCAAGTTGCAGATACTAGGGATGATATAGTTGTTGGGTATTTCGAAATATATACATTTAGAGAAAATAATAAATTTAATTTTTTTTAGGGAAGTTTTAAGATCCAGTTAGATAGAGATAGTTTTATTTAAAGTTTATACCACTATTATTTAAAAATTAGATTTTTTTTAATAATTATTTTAAAACTGAATTATAATAAGTTATTCAACTATCTAGCCTCTAATAATAATTTACATAAAACAGTAGTGAGAAATTTTCTAAATGCTTTTAGAAGAGAAAAATCATTACACTTTAGAGTGCTAACTTTGTTTTTTGTATTTTTCAAATGTTCTATAACTTACATGGTTTTTATTTCTTTACCACACATAAAATAAAAGGCAAAACATTTTATTTATAAAAATACTTGAAAGCCTTATAAATGAAAAAAATATTAATTTGCCTTCTAAATAATAAACCTTATAAATAAAAAAAATATCAATTTATCTTCTGAATAATACCACATATATTATTTTATAATTCTCATACAAACCAATTTAGTGTATATTTAATCTAATAAGCTCTTACATATTAGTTCTAGGTATCTCTCCTACCTTGATTTGTGAGAATAACTGCTTTCTTTTACCAAGGAAATAACATCATACCTAGTAGTCTCAAAAACTCTAATTAATATCTAGTCTTAATAGAGCATTGATCATAAATATTTAGAAATAATATTTTGATGCAACATGAATTCTAAAATTATAATAACTTTATAATTTTCTTTGCAAATCATTTTTATTCAAAAGAATTTATCTTTACTCAAGATTCTTTAATAAATTATTAGATTTATTAATTAAATATTTGATGAATGTTAAAAATAAATAAAACCTTTATTAAAATTAAATATGTTTACATAAATGAAGTCAATATTACGTATAACCACCTGATTGGCTACAAAGCATTGATAATAACAATCTTCTATTTATATTAAAATCAATTACTCATGTATCAAAAATCATATCGCTTTACTTATGATAATATTTTTATTAGGACAATGACATAGTAAGAAGATTACAAAATTCTCTAGGTACTCATTCTATCTTTAGATATTTTCTATATTTTTCTAATAAAATAGAATTATCTAAGTGTGTATATTATCATTGATAAGATCTTGATTCATTTGCTTATGCAATGTTATTTTCATAGTATAGGACTACTAGATTAACAAGGTTAGGAATCACACCTAGTTTAGTGATGAATTTTTTTGACTCAAACAATCTTTTTGTTTTCCTCAAATGCATGTGTACTCTATTTTAGCTATAAAATCTATTTTCATTTTTTATTTGAAACTCTTTTAACTTACAACACCATTATTTAGAATAAAACATAACAAAACTAGATTTTTTTATTTTTAATAACCAATTGAAAACTAGCATTCAAAAAACCATAAATTACTAGTTCATCTCCTCTATAAACCAATAAAATTAGTTCTTCTCAAATACTTAAGAATGTTTTTTTAATTATCTTTTAGTGACTTTCATTTAAATCAAATCAGTATCTATCATACCTTAACTTATAAGAATAACTATTTCATTTCACAAATAAAAGAATATAATATATACCAGTTTTAAGCATTTTAATTAATGTTTAATTTTAATAGATTATTGACCAAAATATTTAGAAATAATATTTTAATGTAATAAAAATTCTATAATTATAATAATTTTATAATTTTCTTTTCAAATTATTTTTATTTTAAAGATTTTACATTTACTTTAAATAATTAAATATTAGATTTATTAATTAAATAATTGATGAAAATTAAGAATTAATAAAGCTTTTATTAAAATTAAATATTTTTATATAATAAAATAAATTTCATATTTAATCGACCGATTAGCGTATTCTATTGTAATGCAGGTTGGCTCAGTGACAGGTGAATTCTTGTTAAATGACCAGTCTAATGGATCGAAATTGATCTCTTCCACTGGTCGAAGTCTGGATCAACAAATGTATCCCCGCAAACTATATCTTCAGGAGTAATGAATAGGCCCTGATTGTAAGTTTTTGTTGCGGGATTTCATACCCTCTTATGAGTGGACCGTTCTAGCCAGGAAGTCCAGATTGCCACCTGGCATCAGAATGTGTTATGTTCAATAAAAATATTCTCAGTATTATCCACATAAAAGCACACCCTCAGAAAAGGTCACCTCACCTCTCTTGTTTAATGGAAGGTAGGCCCCTTCGTTTAATTTTAATGCCCTTTAGCTTCTTCTTTTTTCTTTTTCTTTTTTAATTTATTTTACAGTCTGAGTGAGATTTCATGTTCTTGGGTGACAACAGCAGAACCATTCTTTTGTTCTTTCAATATATTGAAGAGTATACTGTGCTGATTGCGTAATGCCCGTACAGGGAGCTTTTCACTTGGACAGGTCATCTGATGGCAATCTTATAGTTATAATTAGCAGTAATTTATGGATCGAATCAAGATTCATGAAATAAACTCCTCATTTTGCTGTAGATAGGCTAATAAATTTAATTAAGCTTGTGATGAAACTTCAAGCCGAATAAAGCACAGAAAAAACAGATACGCGGCAGGATTTCAATACCTCCATGATAGTCAATCAGATCAAGGAGTGGACATAAAAAGGAAATGTGGGAGTTGGTGATTTAAATGGGCATCTTGTGAAGTGCAGGGGAATATGCGATGCCAGGTGCTTCAATATGCTGAAGACAGGTGCTTCATTGCGAACTGTTGGTAATAATTTATCAAGTCCAGTTCCATCAGCAGCTGCTACAATGCAGACCACTACATGAGGTTCACATCTGCATTAAAGAACAATTTTCCTGGATGCGCAGGCCCTTGTTTTGGATTGTGGCTGCTCAGCTGTCGGGGTACTTATTTGGATAATTCATAATGAAGAACAACAATTTTCATCTGATCTTTGATAGTCTGAGTTTATTTTCTGACAAATATTTTTAGGTGGATGGTCTCTGTGTATGCAACTAGCAGAGCAAGCAAATTTTCTCTTATTGGATTTCAAATACGCTGCTGCATACCAGTAGTGGTTCGTAAAAACCTTCAACCAAAACTCAACTGTTTCATATGCACAACATCTGGGAACTATGACCTCTTTGTTCTTTTCCCGATTTATTTTATTCACTCTATATAACATGGATGCTGTTTGAGAAAAAAATACCAAAAATCATGAGTTGAAAATCTACTTGAAACTCGCAAAACGAAGTGAGTTCATTAGAGCCACCTCTTTCCACTATTGGAAGCCTTTAGCTTCATCACAAGTTCTTCACGGCTAGCTTCGACCTCTGCATACTTCAGGCTCATGTGGAAGTATCGCTCTCGAATGTCTTTTAACTCTGCCTCCAGTGACGATTTTGTGCGTTCAAATTTCTCTTTTGGTACAACTTCACCTTCAGCTGTTGATTTTCTAGATCTTGGGACGCTTTTACGACCCTCAGACTTCAACCTGCATCCAGTCCAATCGCAGTTAAAACTTGTAACGAAAATATAAAAACGAGGGAATGAGTTATACGCTGCCTATACCAAAACTAGTTCAGACCTCATTCTTTCAAATCTCAACTGAATATGGCTTCGCTCTTTAAAGTTGAAAATGAATTTGATAGCTTTATTTATATACTCACCTTTTAAGCTGGATTTTATACGAATTATTTTCTTCCAACGCCTTGGCCAGATTTTCCTCAAGTGAATGACTTTTCGACGCAGGATCAACTCCATCAGGACTTTTGTAGCCATAATCACCCTGTTCTTTAAAGAGTTAGATAATGTAACTGGTAATTTTCTTTTCGTAACCAGCATCCTTCAGAAATTGAGAAAGTTGAATATCGAAATATATATATATATATATATATATATATAGAGAGAGAGAGAGAGAGAGAGAGAGAGCTTAAAACAGAACTGAACCCCATACTTCTTGCAGTTGGTTGCTGTAAGAATTCTTCCTCTCAGAGTCCCTCTGGTTCTGCTGTTGTTCCATCAAGAACATCACCTCTCCTTCAAGAGATTGAGTTCTTGTTAAGCATGCAAGTTTATCCTCCTCAACTTGTCGCATCTGCTGCTGAAGTTGCTTGTTTGCTCTCTTGATCCGGGTGAGCTCACTGTTAATCTCTGCATACTGTTCACAAAATGCCTCCTTTGCCATTAGGTCACCTTCCATCCGCAAAAGCTTTTCTTCTAAGGAAATTATTTTCTGTTTGCTGTCCTCTAATTCAGATACGGCCTTCTGCGAAATAGTGATCTTCTCAATAAATGAACTCTTCTCTATCTTCAACTCTTTGCACTCTCCAGATACTAGGCGGAATGAAGTTTCCAGTTTCTCTTTCTCATACTTGATTGCATTGAGTTCATTCTTCAAAGCCACAACTTCATCCTGAAGAGATCCTATCTCCAGAAGCTGAACCTTCAATTTGGTAGATTCTTCCATGACTTGTTGCCGTTCATACTCAGAAACTGTCAGCTTTAATTCAAGATCGCTAAGAGTGGTTTTAAAATTTTCTTCGCAAGATATGTAATTCGTCAACAGCTTTGACATTCTTCCATTGTCAACTTTTAGCATTTCTTGGTTCTGTTTGGATGCAGCGAGTTCACCCATCAAGCCTTGAACCTTCGTGTCGGATTCAATCTGGGAAGTATTGAGTTCCGATTCTAGCCTGGCTATGACTGCACATAAACCAGACACTTCATCCACAGCTTCAGAAGCTATTCTCTCTCTATCGGCTTGAGTTGCAGAAAGTTGCTTGGTAAGGTCTCCCACCTCTCTTTGAAGACTCTCAACTTCAACCATCATCTCCAAATACATCTGGTTTAGCAAACTAAATCTCTTATTCTGTTTTTCATTTTCCTCAAGAAGTGTCTCCAACTCCGTAATTAGTTTTTTCTCTTTCGAGGCACTATCTTCTAGAACTGAAGATATATTTTCTTCTAAAACCGTCACTCTTCTGGAACAATCAGCAAATCTTCTGTGCGACTCTCTCAATTTTGCCTCCAAATGGGTGCAGTGCCCTTGCAACTCTAATTTCTGCCTTTCCAACTCTCCAATTGATTTCTGAAGTGAACTGCATTCTTGCATAATACTTTCAGCAGTTGCTTGCAAATTAAGATTCTCTCTTTTCAGATAATCACATTCTTCTTGGGCTTCTGACCATTTATCATGCAGTCGTTGTAGATTTTGTTTCAGATCAGTCGTTTGAGTCTCCACGTCATTTTTCAATCTTGAAACCTGATCTTGAAGAATCTGAACCTGAGTTTTGGAATTCTCTAATTCCAATTTAGTTGACTTCCTATCATCTGTCAATTGTGTTATTTGACCTTCCAAGACAGTTATGTGTGATGATAACTCTTCATTTTCTTGCTTTAGCTCTGATAATCGGATCTCCAATTCCTGTTTAGCACTAGCTAGCTCTGAAGATCTCTTTTCAAGAATTTTATTGGCAGAAACATGCGAATCCACACTGCTGCTAAGTACCATTAAATCCTTTCTCAAGTCATTCAGGCACTTCGTAGCAATGTCACCTCCCCTTGTCACAATCTCCATTCTTTCTTCCATCTGGCCTTTCTCATTTTGAAGAACGGAGAGCTTGGCTTCTAATTCTCTCTGATACCTTTGAAGAGTCCCATTCTCATCTTCTTTTGACAGTAAACTAGCCTTGAGTCTTTCTATCTCAGCCAATTTTTCACCGAGTTCCATATTCAGTTCTGTAACTTCAACTTCCAGTTGCGATTTCAGGCTTTCATTCTCTTGAATTGAAAGATTGTGATCATTTTCAATCTCCCTAAGCAATTTCTTCTTCATCTTCTCTTCAAGTTTATCCATTTGTGATTCTTGGCCATTCCCTTCGGACAAGAAACTGGTCGAAGATAAAACTCCATCCGTGGAACTTTCTTTGTTTTCCTTAAGTTTGAGCAACAACTCAAGGTTTTCATCTGTCAACTCCTGGCAGTCGCTTTCCAGCTCCTGCAGCTTAACTTTTAATGCTTCAATTTCTCTGATCAAATTTTCATCACCTCCAGTTATGGACTCCATTTTTGTGGAATAATGTCTTTCATTCAGCGACTCTGATAGCTGTGCTTTCAAACTGACTATTTCTTTTTCTTTAGCAGTTAGCTTGCATTTGTATTCAGTCTCCATATCCAAAAAATTTCGGTTGTTCATACTCTCATTTTCTATGCTTCGGTTTTTGTCCTCCAGATCCTGTTCCAGTGCTTGTACTTTAGCCTGCAAAATTTTCTCCGATTCTTGCAATTGTTGAGTGTGTAGAATTAAGTTCCTGTTCTTCTCCAAGTTTATCTGGATAGAATTTTCCATATCGCTGAATTTTGACTGGAGAGCAGAGAGATTATCTATCTCATTTTTCTGCTTTTCGATAGTTTCTTCCAGCTCCTGAAGCACAGATACAAGCTCAGCATTAGACTCTTGACTCCTTTTCAGCTGGACACTGAGATTAGCATTGGATTCCCTCTGAAACATAACATCATTTTCTAATTCCTTAACTGCACCTTCATCTTGGAACGTGTAATCCTCCAATGCTTCTGGTTTCGCAGTAGATTTCTCTAACAACAGTTTCAATTGTTCGACTTCTTTTTGCAGCCCATCACGTTCTGCGCATGCTGCTGACAGCTCCATGTACATGTTTGCCTGGTTTTTAGACTGCTCAGAGTATTCCTTCCTCAATATTTCCATATCAAGCATCAGCTTCCTGGCATTCCTCTCCCACATCTTAGCCTCATTACGAAGGTCTTCGACTGTATCTTCTGCCGTTTCCAACAATCTCTTAGAGGAATCTGAAACTCTCAAAGATGATGTAGCAAACTCTTGTGTGTCTTCTCGAGAAAGGTTTTCTGGAAGCGTTGTCCGTGATTTAAATGATGCTTGATTTGATTCAGATGGATTGCCTATAGGATAACTCTTTTGGGAGCTTGCCGAATTTGGTTTTCCTGAAATCAGGGGGGGCTCATCACCACTTAAGTTGTTTGATGGCGAGAAACTTTCCCTTGTGAAATCCTCGGCTGAGTCATAGCTGTGATGTGAATCCGAGTTAGAGAAACTGGCTTCCTACAGTGAAGGATGAGGTTATGTTAGTTTAATACGAGGAAAAAAGGGAAAGAAGAGCTGCCGGTGACATTCAAAAATTGCGCCCATGCTTACCGGCCTCTTCTCATGTTCTTGCGGAAGTGAGGTACAGCTGGAATCTCTACCTGAGTAAGATTCCTCACTCTTTGCAACTGTACCATTAGACTCCTCTGACTTTATCTCCACTTCATGAGACTGAGAGTCTGCATTTATATCTTCCTTGTGGGAATCTGTCTCCTTCGATTTGTCATCCCTGGAAATTGTGCATATTGAAAGATATTTCATGAACAAATTAATTCACAGGCAAATCAAAACACTGAAAAAGAAAAGGAGGGAAAAGTGAACAAGTTTCACCACACAAACCTGATTAGTTTTGTTCTCGGTGTCAGGCATTGAATCTTGACCTGAAAAATAATATATATCAGATAAACGGCTCAGATTACTACTATCAATGATAACATATTCAACAGCTACAACCAAATGTGTTTCATGCGTAGACAAATTAGACACACAACCACTGCAAATCAAGTTGGAAAGGAATGGAAGTTTTTCAGGGAAGAGATTTGGGGGATTTGTTTACCATAAATCAGGATGTGTGTTCCCATTTCAACTATAAATATAGTTCTTGTAGGAAAATAATATTCAAAGCTAAAATATATTGAGCTATAGAGAAAAGTGATATAAGATTACATAGAGTTAAAGAGTTGAGTTAGAGAATTTTTTTTTGGTGTAGTTTTGAATTTCCTTCTATGGTACCAAGTAAAATTAGTATCTTTTTGGACAAATAAATTATCAAACTATGTTAAATTAAATTAAATGTTCTTAATTCTGAATATCAATCTTATTCTAACAATTGATATAGAGACTTGGATAATGTTTTTCTTTTTGACCATAAATCAAAGTGTTTAAAAATTGTTTTGAACATAGTAATGTGACAAGTTCATCAAGAAAACAAAATAATAAAATTCTTTTGCAAAATCATAATGCATGTTCCCCAGTTTCAACTATAAATTGAGTTTCAACTATAAATTGGGGTTCTAAGGTAGAATATTCAAAACAAAAATATACTGAGCAATACTGAGTAATAGAAAAAAGTGAGGTTATTAAGAGCTTATAAATTGAGTTGAGAAAGGTTATTCTCCTCCTTTGTTGTAATTTTTAATTCCATTAATAGCTACGTGGACAAAAAAATTATTAAACCATATTAAATTATGTGTTTTATATTCTGGATATCAATCATAGATTCTAACAATTGCTATCAGAGCCTTGAATAATTTTTTTTTCTAGAAATTAAAGTGTTCAAAAACATGTTTTGAATATACCAATATGATGAGGTTATAGAGATGAACACAACAATAAAAATCTCATACAAAACAAAGACATGAGTGAGTCCTACACATCAAACAACTTTTCCCTTCGTATTTTTACACGTGTTAATCATTCATGTGGCTCGACAACCCGAATTAATGACCCATCAACTAGACCTGACCTAGTCTAGGCCAATGCCATGTTAGCCTATATGCCACCTTCCAAGCCAAAAATAAGTTTCAATCACTTCACTGCCCCATCATCTATGAGGTTAGACACATCACCAACCATGTTAGTATGTTAGTCTTATTAGTTGCCACGTGTCTACCACGTCACCTTTGTATAGGGTGATAATTCGGTACGGTCAAAAGTAGAGGCAACATGTGTTATTATTTAGTGTTTAAGCCATGCATTAGGCCATATTTTCTTTGATTAAGTTTAAGATGTCTAAAGTGAAATTTTGATAATTATATACTAATTTTCAACTAATTTGATCATTTCAAACTAAACTACGAAGTTTGATTGTCTAAATCCATAGTTAAAGGTAATATAAGTGGAGGAAATCATTAAAGAAGAATTAAGGATAGATTAATAATGTATGGTCGATGCCAAGTGAAATCTTAAGTATTGAAATGGACCAAAGGATTTTAGTTAAAAAAAGATTATCAATTACATATATATCTTTTCTTTGATGGTGAAGCTGCAATAACTAATTTAATATTGGAAATTATAAATATAAAAGATTTGTATCTTAAATGATTATACATGAAGATTGCTTTTCCTTACGAAGATTTGAAGAAAGATATCTATATGAAGTAGCTAAATAGATTCTCCATGAAGGGAAAAGAGAATATGGTTTACAAGTTGAAAATGAGCTTATATGACTTAGAACAAGTTCTAAGATGAAGTTGTTAAGATAGTTTAAAATGAATGATTGAAAGGTGTAAAACAAATCCTTGGTGTAAGAACAAAGCTAACGGTACCTTGAATCTCTCATAAGAAAAGGTACGTGAAGAAAGTTCTCTACAAATTAAATATGGATAAAGCAAAACTAGTAAGCATATTATTTGCTAATTATAGAAGCATTCATGAAAGACAAACAAATAAAAGAAATACATGAGTTAATTTACTTATGATTCAATAATCAAAAGTATCATATTCATTATGATATGTATAAGACTAGATATTATATATCTAGTAAGAGTTATCAGTATATACATGAATACTATGAGAAAAACATATTAGGAAGCAATCAAGTGAATTTTGAAATATCTAAATGGTTTTTCATATATATTATTTTATTTCACAAAACTAAACTTGAAGTTTTAAGGTTATGTTGATGATAATTTAGCTGATGACATTGATAACAAGAAAAGTATTATAGGGTTTGTGTATACTTTAGGTAAAATAATTGTGTATTAAGTAAGTTATAAAAAATTGATTGTCTCTCTATCGTATAGACTGAATATGTAGCTATAATTAAAATTATAAAGGAGATGATATAGTTGCAAAGTTTATTAAAAGAACTAGCTAAGGATAATGAGAAGTATACAATTTACAATGACAATCAGAGTACAATCTTCTTGCTAAAAATTTAGCATTTCATTTTTATGAGCAAGAAAATTAAAATAAACTATTGCAATCATAAAAAGAGTTTGTGATTTGAGTTGAGAGAGTTTTCTCCTTTTTTCTTATATAATTTTTAATATTTTATCACAAGAGAAAATAAGTAGCTTTGTATAAGTAAACAAATTTCCGAATCACTTTAAATGATTAAATGGATAGTGATTAAATGGTTAAATGATTATTTGTATGTTTTCTTTTTATGAAAGGAAGAAAGGAAGCCAAAAAGAAGAAAAAGAAGAATCAAGGCATTAAATTATACAAGAGAACACAACATAATACAATAAATATCCCATTCAAGTTCTACATATATCTCCTCCAGTTCGATCTCACATCTATTTCGAATGTCATATTTATTATGCAAACTCATAAATTAACAAGATAATCAGAAATATTTATTGGAAATGTTTAGATATTTTCAACTTGCCAAACTTTTTCTAGGAAAACCAAAAGGAAAAAGGTATTTTTGAATTTCCGCATCTTCAAATCAAAAACTCTAATCAAATAATGTATCATCAAACTAACTTTAAATGACTGGTCATTAAAATCAAAACAACAAACAAATCCTTTTATTTGTTGCATATGACAATCATTTATTTCAAGATAGTAACTCATCGGAACTTTATCGAACAACTATATTAATCGATTCTTTTTTACTATTTCCTGCAAACATGTTTACTAAAACTTCACGTGGGTTACTTGTTCATGCTTTTCCACAAATATATTGATGTTCTAGCAAAATCTCAATAATAATAAATCATACCTTTATAATATTTGCATTGTAATAAATACAATGTAGTACTAAATACATTGTAGGGTTACAAGTTTTTAAAATTAATTAAATCAACCCTAATGCATATCAACCGGCACATTAGTTTTTGGTTAACCATAGTCCCTTCATCTACTTAGATTCATTGTTTTAAAACCTAGATTTACCTGACAAATCAACCCAAAATATGATAGACTTGATGTCTAGACTGGTTCGAGTTGAAAACAAAATAGTAAAAAAAAAATAATATTAGGATGACTAATAAAAAATCTAAGTTGACTCAATAACTTCTAGAAACTCAACTATCAATATATTAACTTTTTATTATAATTTTTTTATTTAAAATAATGTTATTTTAATTTTTTTTCTAAACAAAAATTTTAAATTAACTTGACCACAGCAATCTTGATCTTGTCTCCTGTTAATCCCATATCAGTTTTCAAAATTATGCTTAGATGTACACTTACTGCAAGCACCAGATGTCATGACTAACTTTGAACTATTGCTACACATAGAGCCCACGTGTGAATAGAAATAAGAGTGTGAGGGTTCGCATGGACAAAATTAAAGTACAAGCTTGATTCGACCAATTTCCAAAATCAGATGGACAAAACGATGAATTTATCCTTCTATTTAGTGCTCTAATCTCATGAATTTGCGGTAACATTGTGAAGTTGGTTTACATGTCCTTTCTTAATTTATTCCCACAAACCTGTTAATATTTTCTTTATTAATCATTTTTAAATGAAAAAATCAATTAATTGTAACTTTTAATTTATTTATATTTACTATTATATCTTTCTGTCAATTATTTTTGTGAAGAGTAATCATATAAAGTAATTACATATGATAGTTTCAATACAAATTAGTAAAGATATCCATTTAAATCAATAAAAAAAAAATTCTTTTTAAGTGAAAAACAAATAATTGTGGCGTGTGTGTTTTTCCCGCAAATACTAATATAAATATTTTTTTTCTATTATATCATATGTTTATGTATAGTTTTTTTTATAAAATGTAACTATATATATAATATAAATATTCTAAATATAATATTATAGACATGTTAAACATTTTTTAAACCTCAAAATAATTCTTTTATATTATAAAAGCTAAATTATTATTTTTTTCATTTTTAAAATCTGAAAACAGTCTCTAACCACCTAAATTTGAATGGGGAATACAACTCTACAGCCAAAAAAAAAAAACGATTAACCCATAATATTAGCATAGAAATTTTTATTAAAAAACAATAAAACCCATAACATGGAAAACATGTTAATATATAAAGCTGATTCATAGAGTTGAAAGTGAAGAAGTAGAACTCTAACAGTACAAGAAACATATGGAGAAAGCAATTACCTAAAGTAGTTCTTGTTAGAAAAAGATAGATCTTGATGTTTAACTAAGTACGTGAAAATAAGTAAGAAGGGAAAGCGTATTCTTTTGCCAAGAGGTCAACGCTTTCATAGCAAAATTAAAAAGAAAAAAAAAAAACAAAGCTTGCTCTTGAAGGTTACTGAAAATCAATATCTAATAACCAATTTTTCTAAAATTCATTAAATATAATAAATATTTAGAAAGTAATTTTTAAAAATTATTTTTAATCAAACAAATAAGGCAAAAACACGCTATCTATTTGTTTTTATTTTATAATTGAAACAAAATACATATACAGTTGGTTTTCTCTTGAGCAAGAGAGTGTAGTTCCATTAATGAAGGATAAGGTTGGGATATTTAATTAGGGCTAGATTCGTAGGCGAATTTAATATTTCTCAATTATTACGTAATTAAAGAAGGCTATCTCTATGCGAAGCTCACGGCACTTCAAACCTCCTGAAGAAAAAGAAAAAGAAAAAGGCCAGGAACTATTCAAATCTAATTCCAGGGACCAATCAAATCATTTCCAATAGCAAGATTATGACACGATCAGTCTATAAGATCCACGGCAACTATCTTGAAATTACTGTTTTTCTTTCTTTCTTTGAAGGTGGAGTTTGACTGATCAGAGCAATTGATCCGGACAGATTAAAAGCTGGAAAGGATGAAGAACCCAGCAAAAATAAGTAGTGGCGTGGAGTTATGAACTCACCTGTAAAATGGTGCCGTGATTGCACCTTTTCAATGGGAATGAAACCGGGACAGAATCACTCGAGCTCATGTAGCTTGCCATATTAACTGTAGCCTCTCCAAGAATGCCAGATCTAGCTGATCCCTGTAATTCAAACAATCTTGATGTGAACGGATAACTAAACTAATGTAACCACGAATCTATTAGCTACTTGTTTACGTAAGATCTGCAGTTTATTGACGATCATTAATGAGGCAATTAATTGAATTAAATTAACAATAGAGTGATTATAAATACCATGGCAACAACGAACTTGAAGAGGCATTCGTCATGTTCCTTTGAAGACTCATCTTGTGAAGCAGTCGACATGGATTCTGACAAGCTCTCAGTCCATTGACAATTCCCATTTCGAACAGCTGCTTTGCTCGTCTTTGCAATTGTTTTTCCAGTCTCCACGGAGATTATAGACACAGACAGCTTGTCCCATCCTCTTGGAACCTGTTAATGAGCACGGATATTTGTCCACTTTACTTAATCTAATCAAGTGAAAACAACCTTGCATGATCAACTTGTAAAAGAACTAGTACGGTCACCTGGAGTGCCTTGAAATAGGAGAATTTGAAATCTATTTTCTCCCCTGATGACGATTTAGCAGCTGGCCTGGCCTTGTGCAACCGGAACATTTCTTCTCCCTGTGTAGAAACTCTTGAATTCTCCTGAGCGTTCTTGTTCAATTGATGGTCACAGATTGTCAGATAACAACAGCAACAACATTACCACCAAGGAAACTCAGAAAGAGAGGCAGAGGGGGACAAGATTAGCTAGCTGGTCCTTGTTGAGAAGGGTGATATTTTATGTCTTACCAACTTTGGGAGTTACGTTAGTTATAGAATTAGAGAGATGCATGGGATATTTTAAGATTTTCCCATTGACAGCGCTCTCAATTTTACAAATAACCAAACTACTCGCCTTGCACTAGTGAGAAGAGAATTAACTCAACCTTTTGATGTATGGTATATATTATTATTCCTGCGCATACAGTGGGAAGCTAGGATTTCTAGTGGAGGAGGGTAAAGAACATATATATATATTAGGCGATTAGATTGTGAAAACATTTTATATAGATCAAATTAATTAGTAAATCCATTTTAAATTACAATTTTTTTCTAATAAAAATATATAGAAGGAAAACATAAGATAATATATATATATATATATATATATGTAGCTCTTCTCAATATTTTTTCTATAGAAAATTAGTTAGTTATAATCTAACTGAGATTAATCATAATAAATAGAAATTAAGAACTTAAACTCTAAATGGTAATTATAATTTAAGAAAACAAGATCTCAAAAATATTTTTATAAAGTAATTATCCCTAATATATTAACTAGTCCTAAAATTAATATGATAATTTTAAATTATATAAATAATAGATTCCTTGATAATCAATTGTTGCCTTTATGGAACTACAAATGATCTAGAAGCATTTCTATTTTAGTCTCTTTTGTGTTGGTTTGGGATTGAATTGCCTTGAAATCCTTACACAACGATCTCTTAGACAGAGCTCAAATGGCAGTTTTTAATTAAGGGGCCTGAAGAAATTTCTCCGGGGACCTTTCGTGTTGTATCAAAAGGCTAAGCGGGGCAATTGCCCCCGTTCCTCTACATGCAAGTTCTTCATCTTCATCGTACAGGTTCCTCCTCCAGTGAAAACATCTTCTTCATCAATGCATTGTCACTTGAATTTCTCCTTGCTCATGAAAACCTGTTTCTTGTGTTGTGCACCTGTTTCTTGTGTTGTGCATACCAAGACGATTATTGTTTTGGAAAACTTATTTCTCGTTTTTAATTCGGCATAAGATTTTTCTAGCCAGTACACATATTGTCAATATATAGCAAGATGGTCAATTTATTGTAATTCATGTTCAATGAATTCTAGAATGAGGATTTTAAAGGGGATTTAAAAGAGTGTATGAGAGAATAGTAGAAATTATTTTTTAATAATTATAATCTCAAATTATTTTCACCACATTAAAACAATTTAAAAATATATATAAAATCACCATATTAAAACAATTTAAAAATATATATATAAAAAATAGTAGTTGGCGTTCAGCTATAGCATGCATTATTTTTCTTGACTATCTTATCTCTAATAATTACGTGGTCTTTTCTAAATCATATGCATGTTTAGGATGTGCAAATGTTACTTTCAGGGTTGTTTGTAGAGTCCAAACTAAATTTGATAACCTAACAAATGGAAATTTAAATTTGTTGATGGAATCAAATGACTAATGGCACCCAGAGGACGAAGAAAATCAGCGATTCACTGTACATACAGACACGATCGATGGCTTTGTAAACACCTGACAGCAGAGATTACATGCCGATGACCAGTTACTTGACAAATATCCTATAATTATAATGAGGTTTGGTCCCGAGAAATGGTCACACCATGCAAGATTGATAATTGTTCACCTCCTCCGAGAAGGAAAGGCAAGGAAAAGAAGGAAGAGCTAAATTAATTAGATGATAAATATACATTCCAAAAGTCACTTACGAAACATTTGAAACACTTCTTTAGGGATTGAAACATTTGAAACATTCCAAATTAATGACATTGATTATTTATATAATTAAAATCTTAGCTTCAAATTTAAAGGATGTAGTTTAACTAATTATGTTTGAGTTTGCTTATTAGATATTACTAGTTTAAGTGTCACACATCTTAGAACCATTAACTACTTCTTTAATTGTTAATTTTAGAGTTTTAAAGGGTTAATTAAGTTGCGTGTAAACTGATGCAAACATAAAAAATTCTTAGCCTTGTTTTGAGTTTTGTAGCTTCATGATATCTTGGATTAAGAATGAAAGGTTGAGGTTGGAAGATCCACCCAATTCCATAGCCTTCTTTGCCGTCTTTCCAAGTTCAATTGCTCTCTTCCTTCTGTTCTTGCCTTCTTCTCCGCCTGCATCCATCAACGTAATTACTGCCTTCCTGACTTCGTCTTTCTTCACTAACACTCCAACTTTCTCTTCTTCTCCCCATCTCACTGGAACCTCAACGCCGATTCGCACACCGATCCTTAAAATCTCAACGATTAGCTTCTCATTAAAGAATTGCTCGGAAAACTGAGGCCATGATATCATTGGCACGCCAGAGCAGATCCCTTCAACAGTAGAGTTCCAACCACAATGAGTTAAGAATCCTCCAACTGCTCTATGGGACAAAATAAGGACTTGAGGAGCCCAGCCTTTGATCAGAAGCCCCCTTCCTTTGATCCTTTCTTCAAACCTCTCCTTCACGAACCATTCCTCTAATTCAGAACCTGTCTCTCCAGTTTTCACTACCCAGATAAAGGGTTTATTAGATGCTTCCAAACCCAAACCTAGTTCTATCAACTGCGATGGCACTAGGCGACATAGGCTACCGAGGCAAGCGTAAATAACAGACCCTGGCTCCATAGAGTCAAGCCATTCCAAGCATTGTGTCTTACCAATTGAAGCTTTGTTTCCTCTCTCAAACATATCTAAACTCTGCTTGTTATATAAAGAAACTGGTCCAATGCACCATACTTTCTTCTTTAGAGCCTTTCCGTACCCCTCAGCACAACCATGCTCCAACTCGTCAAAACTATTAACCACAACCCCATAAGCTGAAGATTCAGCCTCTTGCATCTTGTTACGGACGTCATCCAAATCAGGCAAGCTTACGAATGCTCCCGGTAGCTGAGCCTTTGTTATCTCAAAACTTTTTGGCATCCCTGGCACCACAAAAGGTTCTGAATCCGAATTTACAGTAAGGTGAGCTTTGTGAAGCCTTATATTATTAGAACTCAACAAAGAAAAGCAGCACATCCCATGAAAAACAATCCGTGGGATGTTGAAGCGTTGAGCGGTTTTGTCTGTCCAGGATAAGCACTTGTCTGATATTATGCAGCTTGGACGAGGCTTGGCATGTTCAAGTATGCGTTCTAATGGCTGCTGAAGCCTAGCAACTGCAACATAGAATCTCTTCAGTAGGTCTCTTGAAGGTAAGGTGTCAAGATTCTCGTAGCCGATAGGGAGTCCCACTTCTTCGCATGGAAACGGTATCTGCACAAGCCGAATAGGGAGACTAGATTCTCTTGCTCTTTCGATTATTGACACAAATCTTGATGCATTGTGAGGGGTAGTGACCAAACTTACAGTCACACCACGCTCTGAAATGAGCCTGGCCATGTCTATCATGGGGATCATGTGTCCCTGTGCCATAAGCGGGATCAACACAAAGTGCAGTTGACTAGACATTGGAGGCGCCATTACAGCAGGACTGGTAATGTTTCTACTTATACAAAAATGGAGAAGAAACAAAACTGGTTTGTTATGTGAAAGTTTCGCAATCCCATTAATAATTGGCCAAGTCTTATTATGTGAGCTTGACTTTGAACAAGTCGAGCGACAGAGTTTTTAGGTGAGTGGCAAATATACAGGGTTGCAATTTCCTGTTTACTTCCTTGACTCGACCAACGTGGATCTGGTGTGCCCTTTGACAAGTCAAAAGGCATGCAGATCATGATTTTGAAAAACTTCTACCTGGACGAAGGGAAATTATATTCAAAATTAATAGTCATATCATCTTGTCACCATATTCAGCCCTTGAAGCCAGTAATTGACTGTATGACATCCAAGGTTGGCCCTGTTAATCTATGGGCTGTGGCCTTAACTATAATTCTCTCCGACATGCCTCTACTCTCATTCATACATGTATACATATATGAATTGCATGTGAAAACGATCTTATAAATTGTTGTGTGAAATGATAGATATTGGATGAAAGCCATAAATGTTGAATATAGCTGGCCCATTTGTTATGCAATAATGCAAAGTGTTTTTTCCCGTACCTTTAGGTCTTCCATTTCAAAAAAAAAAATGAAAAAAATTATTTTATTATTTTATTTTTTAAATGTTTTTATATCGTTTTAATTTAATATACTAATA